TGATGATGATGGAGATGATGATGATGATGATGATGATGATGATGATGATGATGGAGATGATGATGATGGAGATGATGATGATGATGGAGATGATGATGGAGATGATGATGATGGTGGTGAGAAAGGGGAGGGGAAGGGCTCGTAGGGGCAAGGAAACAATGTTTGAGTGACTCAGAGGCTGTGCGGCAGTTGGCGTCTTGTGAGGTGGTTGGTCTCATCGCATCCTCTCTCTCCTCCTCCTCTGCGGGAGTGCGACGAGCTGCCTGCTACTGTCTGCAGGTAGAGGAAGAGGAGGGGAGAGGGGACGGGGGATGGTGATGTTTGCAACAGGGCATGGCAAGGTCAGTGAAGACTGTGAGGACGGTGATAGCGGACGCGAAGTTAGGAGGGAAGTTGTGCCAACTGATGAAAGAGGAGGAGGTAGAGGAGAGAGCTTCAGCAGGTAAGGGGAAGGGGAGGGAGGGGTGGGAGGAGGCAGAAAGGGGTGGGGGTCAAGAGGAGGAAGAAGGGGTGGGGGCCAAGAGGAGGAAGAGGGGGTGGGAGGTCAGGAGGGTCAGGAGGGTCCAGGGCTGATGGTGACGTGGCAGCGGTGTGCAACCTTGTGCTTGTCTTCTCTCCCGTTCGGGTTGAGATCGTCCGGCATGGCGGCATCGCCATCCTCGTCGCCCTCCTGCGCCGCGAGCAAGCAGAGGACAAGAAGGAAAGTCAGCCGGAGAGCAGCTGGGAGGGAGCAGCAGAACAAAGACGACAAGGAGGAGGAGGAGGGGCAGCTCTCAATGCAGTGTGGGGGCTAAGGAACTTAGTGTACATGAGCGAAGAGGAGACGAAAGTGAAGGTGCTCGAGCAGTTGGGAGACTTGCTGCCCTCTCTCCTCTGCACCAAGGTAAAACTTCCAGCGCTAACATCGCTATTCATGCTGCTGCTGCTGCTGCTGCTGCTGCTGCTGCTGCTGCTCCTCTTCCTCCTCCTCCTCCTCCTCCTCCTCCTCCTCTTCCTCCTCTTCCTCGTAGGTACTGAGTCTGTTCAGACCCACAGCGAGCTGTTCCTACAGCAGGCGCTTGGCCTCATGAGAAACTTTGCGCACGCGAGGAAGGAAGACGCGGCGCTGTTGCTCGAGCATGTCAGTCGAAACTTCACCGGCAACCAAGACAAGTGGCAGGAGAACTTTCTCGCAGCAGTCGCCTCCTGCATCGCCTCCTCCACGTGCCCTCCTCCTCTTCCTCCTCCCTTCCCTCTCATGCTGCTGGCAGGTTGCTCGCGTACGAAGCCATGCTTCTCCTCAACAACCTTGCTGCTCACACAGTGAGTAGTAGTAGTAGTGGTGGTGGTGGTGGTAGTAGGAGGAGGAGGAGGCGAAGTGAGTGAGTGAGGGAGGGAGGGAGGGAGGGAGGGGAGGGGTGACGAGTGCGGCAGGTTGAAATGCGAGGAGCGATACTGGACGCCTCGTTCCTCCTTCAGGCCATCAACGCTGCCCTGTTGAAGAGCTCGCAGGAGGGCAGGCTCAGGATCGCTCTCGCCCTCCTCCTCTTCCACCTCCTCGGGCTCGGCAACTCGCGCATCCTCCGCGACTTCGACGCAGAGATTCTCCTCAACTCGTCGGTGCTGGACAAACTTCGACGCGAGGGCCTCGCTGAGAGGTTCAGAGGGAGCCCTTCCTGGCGCTCTCCTCTCCCCGTCCACATCCGGTGAAAGCTGCACGCCCCTCGCTGGCTCCCTCCCCTCCCCTCCCCTCCCCTCCCTCCCCTCCCCCTTCCCTCTTCGTCTTGCTCTTGCTCTTCCTCTTTCTGTCGCATCCTCGCTTGCTATCTGCCTGACCCACTTGGAGCTACGAGAACCTCTACTTTATCGTCGCCAACATCCTCCTCCACGCGCACGTGCGTCTCCTCCTCCTCCACCACCACCTCACGTGGCTGCAGGAGGAGGGACTTGCTGCCTGCTCAGCCGTCGAGGAGCCTGAGAGGGAGCCGGGCTGCGAAAGAGAGAAGGAGGGGGATGGTCTTGTGCGAGAGGTCGAGACGAGAGGAGGAGACGTGAGCTGACGGCTGCTGGCGCAGGGGGACCGAGACATGAAAGAGGAGGAGGAGCGAGGGCGAGAAGGGGAGGGAGGGAGGGAGGAGGGAGGGAGAAGGGGGAGGGGCGAGGGCGAGGGGAAGGCGTTCGTGTGGCGGGTGTAGGGTCGGTCGGTAGTTTACAAGGAGGGCGTCACAGGACGTTAACGAGGAGGAGCTGAAGCCTTCAGCCACTAGACGAGCTGGCAGGAAGAGTGACTGCAGTCAACCCGACACAGAGGCATCTGCACGCAAAGCTCTTCCCCCTTGCTTAGACTCTCGTTCACCTGCCCTGCACGTCAGCTCCCCAACCTCCTCCTCCTCCTCCTCCTCCTCCTCCTCCTCCTCCTCCTCCTCCTCCTCCTCCTCCTCCTCCTCCACCACCACCACCTCATACTGATCTTCCTCCTCCTCCACCACCTCATACTGATCTTCCTCCTCTTCCTCCTGACAATCCTCACCCTCCTCCTCCTGATCCTTC